TAATTTATTATTAGTTGAAATTATTTATAAGTTTTTAATTTAATTTTTTAATTTATCAATATTATAAACTTAAAAATATTTAATAAATATATTATCTTTTAAATTATTTAATAAGAAAATTTGTCTGCAAATTTATTATATAATTAAAAAATAAAAATTACTATAATATATAAAATTAACTTTTATTTTTCATTAAAAATAAATAAGAAGGAAAATTATAGTAAATAAGTAGACAAATTTATCTGCTTAATCTTTAAAATCTAAAGAATTATATTTTTATTTAATTTTCTTAATTTAATAAAATAAATTATATTAAGAATTTTAGTCAAATTTTAATATTTTAAGTTTAATATTTTAATTACAAATTATAGTTTAAACTATTTTATAAATATCAAAAATCAAAAGTATAAATAATTATTACTTTCTATTTTTTATACTTTATATCATTATTATATAACTCATAATATGAATAATTATTTATTATTACATATATCTATCATATAAAAAATACTTTGTATTATATATAAATTTGATAAAATAAATGTTTTAATTAAATAAAAATAAATGTTCTAAGTTAAGTTAATAATTTACTTTTTATTTTATTTTTTTTATTTTCTCTTTTTTTTTTATTTCTTAATAATAAACAGATATATGATTTAGAATTAATTATAATTTTAATCTAAGATTAAGTTATTCATACAGCAAATTAGCTTAAATTATAAATAAAATAATATATAATCCTTTGGTAAGTCTATCTAGCACCACTGGCACTAGCAAATTCGATAATTTACTATTTTCAGTGATTATCAATTTCAAATAAAGGATATAAAGGTACTTACTTCCGATATGGGACGATTGTTATGGAAATCAGGTTCTAAGAATTCTTTGACTAAAATTAATACTAAAAAATCAAACATCCGAAATCTAGTTCAACTCTAAAGTTTCTTCACTGCTATCGCTATAAAATCAATGGAAAAACTTTAATCCGTGCCTATTTTATAATGAAAAAGAACGGACATGAGCGATTAAAATAGATCAATTTTTAACAACACATGTGGTTTTTTTTGTATGCATGGATACCGAATTCGGAACCGAAAAAAAAAATTAACAAGTATATGATGATAAATAAAGATCTTGGGATTTGCTGATTTTTGATATTAGTGGTGGTCTTGGTCTTCCTACCTGAGAAACGCATGGAGTTTGATCAACCATTTTACGTCATTGTTACACCTTTAAAAGGTTACACTAAATAACAGATTTTCAGGAAAAATATATTCGCGCAAGGATCTACCATAATCAATTTCGGATGGCAAAAAAGAAAACACAAACCGACGATAATTTTTAATTGGTGCGTTAAAAATGTCAAACTTAGTTTCTTTCACAAATTATAAGACAATCAAATCGTGACATGATAAAATGAAAATGGTCTTGGTCTAATCAAAAAGGACGAACCGAGGCGCCTTTTATTGTATGTTTCAACATTAAAATTGGCACGCATGGAACAAACAACTAAGGGGATTCACCAAAAACAAATATTTTTCCGAGTGCTAAACAATGAAATCTTTGGTTCTTTATGAAAATATGATTTTCTTTATACCAATTGAAAAATGTAACTAATAATAAATTGTGCTTTATTACGTACATTGCGCGGAATGGATGTACTTTTTTTTATTTTTTAAAAAAAAAATATCTTTTTTTACGAAATACGCACAAAGTATTTTTTTTCGGTTGGTCACTGGTCTAGTATCTCTAACAGTTAGGGTTGAAGTTGCTGTATGCGGTCCGGAGATGCCAAAACAATGTGCCTAAAATTTGCACCAATCAGATCCAATCACCGGAATATTTGCTGGATTGAAATAATATTGTCGGGTATGATTATTATTTTTTTTTTTGTTTCAAAGTATCCAATAATGGTTTGGTGATTACTCACATGGATAATTGATGTGTTTGATCTTTTTTGATCGAAAATACACCAAAACGTCATTTAAAATCGGATTGGTTCCCAAAGTTGAAACAATTATTTCTGTAAGAGAAGAATGAATTTTTACTTCTACCATTCAACGAATCTTTATACAGATAATATTTCCTGTTTCTTTTGATTTATGGTAACTGCGTAAATAATTTATCCAAATACCAATTGAATTTCGTTTTTTTTAAAATTTATTTGTTTTTTTTTTTTCTTTTCTTGTTTTTGGATATTTTTAAAATAAAATAGAAGCGAATGATCGAAATATCAACAAAACCTAAGTAGTTTAGGCTTACATTGTTTACATCATTAGGTGACCTACAGGAATTTTTCAAAATTGTTTCATCGCTTAACTGCGTACATTCATTTATTCCTAATCAGTGGGAATGAGCGTTTATACAACACACGTTTGTTACGCTTGTACTATGCTCTTGTTCTTTTCCTATGGGAAGGTTCTTATGGAACTTAGAACCTTCCTTTATTATTTGTGTTTTAATTTATATCTTTTTTGTTTGTTGTTTGTTGCTTGATTTTGAAAATCGCGTCAATTAGGAATAAACCTATTTCTTGGTGAATTGCATAGTCGTAACAAATACATACATTAAATAAAAAAAAAAAAAGAAAAGAAGATCCAATTCTCTAACGATCTGCTGTTTGAAGGTAAAAAAAAGAAAGAAAAATGAAAAGAAAATGAAACACTTCATTAGCTGAATGGACTTTTATTCTGTTCTAGCAAATTATTTTCTTTATTTTTCTGATCCTTTGTACGCTCCGAAATTTATGCGTGTTTATCTTTGAAGGAGTAAGAATGAACGAATGTGCACATGACAGTGAGTGTAATTCAACACAAAGATAATCTTTAGAGTTATAGTGACTCCCTAAAGGAAAGTTTTTATTTACATTTATACATCACCCATTTATAGTATAAATTATCTTATTAGTATATGCATTGCGCAACCGTCGATGATTTGCTTCAATGCTAAGAATGGAAATGTTTGATTAATAATCGAAGATTTATGCACATAGGTTTGTTTCTAGGGGATTTGAGGTGATATGAACCTGTTACGTGATATTTAAACATTTCCCGGTATGGAATTTCTATTTTTTTTCGATATCTCTATACAGGTTTCTTATTCCCCAGTTTACCTAATTTTTCAATTGCCTTCCAAAAATGTATTTTTTTTTTTTTTATTGTCATTCATATGCTATATGTTTTTTTTAAGCAACAACAATATCTGTTTACTTTCTTTGTTAGTATTCAATTCCTTTATTTTATTTTTATTTTTTTTATTTTAATTTATTTATTTATTTATTATTATTATTTTTTTTTTTTTTTTGTTATTTTTATTTTATTGTAAACGAATATCCGAAAAAAGGCTCCCGACATCATATTTTCCAACTGTGGCATATCGCTTCGGGATGAAATTCTATGTTGGGTAAACTAAAAACCTATGATCAGCTGGTCACAACGGAAATTGTCTTGGATTGGTTGAACTAGCATTTTTAGACTTTATTTACTTTATTTGATATCAAAACAATCTTTGATACCTACCATGCTTATTTTGTGTAGCAATACTCCAATTTGTGCTTCCTCACCCTAAGATTGTTGTTCAACAAACAATCTGCCATTTAGCACAAAAACCAACGCTTCAAGCTTTCCTCTCTCCTCCTGTTGTTCTTGGTTGACTTGACGTTGGAACTTTTTTTACATTGCCTTTGCTGGCCCTTACCACTTTCCTTTATTTTTTTGATTCTTTAGACTCTCATTTTATCCCTTTTTTTTTTTAAAAAAAAAAATCTTTTTAGCCCTTCATTATCAATATTATTATTGCTCGACTTTTCTGAAAAAATACAGTTTGCTTTTATTTGAATTTTGAAAAAATAATAAAAAACGGGAATATTTACATTTCACCATCTACTCTATTATTATTAACACTTTCCAAATCTTTACCGTAACTTCCTAAACTAAACTACTTCATATTCCTCTTTTTACCCGCTTCCCTTTTTTTATTATTTTCAAAATTCTTAAAAGGTAAACCTTTTGTAAAGGTAGGCAACAATTTTTTATTATTATTATTATTATTATTATTATTTTTTATCTTTCCAGATAAACAAAAAAAATACATATATATTTGTGTAATATTTATGTATATACGTGTTTTGTGAGTGAAAGATTATATAGTTGACCACTTTTACAGAGTTTCAAAGCATCTCAAAATATCGCGAAAGTCGGAGCCTCAGGAAAAAAAAATATTATCATCAACATCTTTTTTTTTCAGTCAACCAAAAAAAGATCTCTGGATTCTTTTTTGTTTTTCCCCAAGTTGTTAGTCGTTTTGTATTGGCATATATTTAGTTAGATTCCGTAATATAAAGGACAACTCCGAGTGGTCCACATGGTGCATAGGATTGGTGAAGTTGTAACTGTAACACTCAAACAGTAACTTTAAAACTCGCTAACCTTTAATATCTCTCTGAAATCTATAAATACCTCTCAACTCTTGTTGCTTATCTTCTTCACACAAAAACACATCAAGTAGTGTGTTGTTACATCTACTCATACCTTTTATTTAACATATCATTCCTTGATTTTATTTTATTGTTATTTAGATAATAGAAGTAGATAATAGATTCATTCATTCCCTTAATTCATAACAAAACACTCATCTATTTAGTTTTATTTATACAAAAAAAAAAAAAAAATAATAATCATAATAATAATCATAATAATAATCTTTAATTTGTAATTGACTTATTTATTTATTTTACAATTTTCCATTTATATAATAACAGGAATACCAATAATACCTTTAATCGGTTCAATATAGCTCATTGCTTCTCCAATCCTCCATTAGGAAGAAGATAAAAAAGTCGAGCCTGGTTTCTTTTAAAAAAAAAAAACAAAAAAAAAAAATTATATCCATCCTTTTTTTTTAAAAAATCTCAAAAAAAAGTCCCTTTAATCTCTCTCTTTTCGATCCTTGTGGTATTTAATTCTAGTTCCAAAAAAAAAAACATCATCACATCTAAAATCATGACAGACTATATGTTAGGCGAAAGATCATCCAAGAGACCCTTCTTTGGTTCAACCAATCCTTCCAACTATTTTGACGTTGACGATGACGATGAGCAATATTTTGCTTTCAGCAAGGCTGCATCTGATTCAGGAGGTTATTCAATGGTTGGCTTAACAAATCCTTCATCATCCATCATGCCAAATGGACCTCATCACAACAAAGATGCCTCTGTCATGGATACCTCCGCGAGTTCCGTGAACCCGCTTTCAAATAATTGTAACGCTTCTCATAATCCTACTCTTGATGATGTTAAATTAAATGCTCCTATTAATAATAAGGGTACTAGTGCAAATGCTGACGTCACCAATGTAACCTGCAAGGCTGAGCCAAGCAGTAAGGAGACCACCGAGCTTAACAACAAGATTGGCAAGTCCAACTCTGTCAAATCTCCATCAACCGCATCTTCTTCTCAACCAACAACGACCGCCCCCCAACAACCCTCATCCACAAATAACAAAAAGCGAACTCGTGCTACGCCTGAACAATTAGCGATTTTAGAAGATACTTTTAAAACAAATACGTCTCCCAATAGTAAAGTTCGCGAAGCTTTAGCTGAAAAAGTAAACATGTCCGAACGTTCAATTCAAATTTGGTTTCAAAATCGTCGAGCCAAAATGAAGGCGATGCAAAAACGTGCACACTTAATGATTAATCAAGATACTATGGGACATCACTTTATGGCTTGCATGCCCGGTTATGGGCATAACTTGTTCCCTTACCGTATGCCTATTCATCAACGTATAGCTTTACCTAGATCTTATAGCGCTAGTGATCTCACTCTTAATAACGTCAATGCTCTCGGTATGCGTTCTGCTCCAAATTCTGCCGGACTCGGGATCACAGTACCCCAAGTTCCTCAAGGATTCTGGCCTTCTGGTCCTTTAACTGCACCGATTCCTTTGACTACTAGTGAACATTTGATGAACGGGTTTCCTTTTTCAGCTAATCCCCTTGTAACCGCTCAACAGCAAACCCAATCTCAACGTTTCCCAATTTCGCCTAATGCCAGTCCTAATTCTAATGCAATGAATGTGAATTCTGCACAAGGGTTACGACTTGTTGTCAACCCCAATAATGGAATACCGATAAAAATGAATGGTAAATGTTGATTGACGAAATGCTTGCTCACGTGATCTCACATATTAACATTGTTCAAAAATTTTTTAAATCTTTTACAGATCAATCTTCCATATCTCCTCAACCTCAACAGTTCACACCACCTCAAGAATTCCTCACTCCGGCTTTTAATAATAATAATAACCCAATGGCTTCAGTTATCTCATGTGAAACTCTTACGATCGGATCATGGCGTCGTATTTTAACCATGTCATCCATGTCATTGCCTGATGACCTTTTATGTTATTACACTTTACCACAGAATATTTTTACGTATAATATTACAAATGAGAACACTCAGTTCAAGATGGAGTTCCCACTTTCTGACATCTTTTCAGTTGAATTTAGACCTATTGATGAAGTTCATTCACAAATTGCAATCGAAGTCAAGAACCCACCTTCCTTCTATATGGAGGCACCACATGGTGGATGGAATATGTGCAAAGATTTCACCGAAGACAGACAAGCAACTCGAAACAGGAGACATGTATTGAAAGGCCGTTCTGTTGTAATTAAACCACAGCTTATTAGACTTATGCAAGTTGATCAAAATCTTGCCAAAGTCGTAACAATATTAGATATTCCAGCACCGACTGATCCATTAAGTCCAGACATGACCGAAGATGATATAATGATTAATAACAATGGACAACAAAATCCTCCTCGTCGCTCGTCATTCCCAGTTAGTGGTTCAATTGCAAACCATGTACAATACGCGGAACCTCAAAAAGGAAATATTAAACCTGATATGAACCTTTTAAACCAAATGGTCCGTGTACAGCGTCGATCTGCTTCAGCACCATTATCACCTTCGGATGAAAATAGAAACTCCTCTTTAGGAATTCCAATGTCTCAGCAAAATCTACAAATTGATACTTCAACAAATTTCCTCGAAATGTTCAAAGCCGAAGTGAATCATAGTTCTCCAGAATTCTGCTCTTCACCGATGGAACTTAACTCTTCACCATCCACTCCTCTTGATGTATTTGACAATTCTCCAGCCTTAATGGATTCATCACCACTTTTAAATCAGGATCCCTTCGTATCTTTACCTTCACATAATTTAAGTAATCTTACCATGGACTCCGTCACTTCTACCTTACTCTCTGATGAGCAAGTCGCGGCCGCTATGGTAACGTTTGCCCCTCCAATGAACGGTCATGATCTACAAAATGTTTCTAACGAAGATTTCGCAAATATGTTTAATATGAGCAGTGGTTCAGATACTGCTTCAGATGTAAGCGAATTCTTAACATTTAATGAGAATATTCATGGTAATGACAATTATGGTTCTAATACGATGAATCTCGACACTGCATGGGTTGGAGATGTTGCTTATTGCTAAATTTGGTAATGTTATATAATGAATATATAACGCCAATTTTTTTTTTTTTTTATTAATGAAAGACAATAATATTAATTTAATCACAAATCAAATTACTTAATTAATAATTTAAAAACCAATACATCAAAACAAGGTTAATTATGTAGAATAACACGTGAACTGATATGCTTTTCTTTTTAC